GGAATCCGAACTAAACATTCCTTTTTTTGATATATTCCTCACTAGAGGTAATAACAGATATCTTAAAAGATCCATCCACCAAAAACGTACAGAGCATGTTCCTAAAAGGTTCCGGAAACAAATAAAATCCCCAAAACCCATTAATGTTGACAACAGGAGACCTAGTTCCTCTTTTGCGAAACATATTATAGAGACGGGGCATAAAATTGATGTTTACACATATTTTAAACCCATTTATAAAATGTGTTTGGGGTGTATGCTGAAGTTTGTGTAGCCCTAGCTACCAATTAGGAAGTTTAAACCAGCTTTATGCGATCAAAGCAACAATTCGTCATCACATTAAACCTTTCTTGATAAACTTTCTTTTGATACCAGCCATGGCAGTTGTACTATTATAGATAAGATTTTATTATGATAAATCACGTTTTGAGCACAAATTATTGCCACTCATTATCATATCAAGTCAATCACACAACTTTTTTATGCATGCCATCTGATTGTATTTGATTGATAACACTAATATTATTATTTCTGAATGTACTTTATCTTATATTGATTTTTATTTAAATGTCTAATCAATTTCACTCATGTGTATAAATGAAGTAAAATGTTGTGTGTGAGTGACTTGATATGATTATGAGTGGCAATGATACTTTGTGCTCGAAACATCATCAGTTAATATTACTGTGTAACAATGTGTGATTTATCAAAATACCATTGTATCCATAATGGAACAATACTCTACCACAGTACCCAAGTTTTATACTTATATCAATAATCACAAATTTCTGTAACTATTTTTCCCCCTTACCATATAGTGTGAAGAGAACATTAGATGCAGTGTTGTACTACTGTAACTGGAGAAGATAAAACACTAGGTAATAGACCTTAAATACACATCCAATTTATACATTCTTAGTCACATTACAGTTAGGCTAGGTCAGGAGAGAATAAATCCTTCCGATTCGTTGGCAACTGGCTCAAGGTTAAACAAGTTGACCAATGACATTATTTCATACCCACAACGTGAACTAAATCTCAATTTGAAGAATTAAACACTTCTACCTCTTCAGCCATTGACTGATTTAAAATCTTGATATCAATATTTGACCGATTCGTATCGATCTGCATCATGCTACAATATATGCAGAGAATTCTACACTATTTTAAAAATATCGTAGCTTCATACTCAGAAAAAGAGTAAAGCCCGTGACTAAGAAGACATTTCCTGGAGTAACTAGGACTCTCTTAAGGCAGTGTCTTGAGGTCATGGTTACGCTGACAGGTACCTCCGCGTGGTTCCCACTGGGTGGGGTGGTTTTCCGGCTGCCCTAACTAAATCCTGTCAGGACGAGAGCGAACTATTTCTTGCCCTTGGGAATCCCGAACGTGGCTTTGTTCTGGTTGTAATCCTCTTTGGTGCTAAGGCGTCTTAGGAGGCACTGGGGCATTGACTGCGAACGGTAGCCTGGTCATGAAAACCGAGCTGGAAGGATGTTAGGGGGAGTCTCGTATCCCAATATCAAATGGGCAGCTTGATTCGAACCTTCAGACAACCTGTGAGGGGATTATGTCTGAAACTAGTTTGCCCAAGGATGGTGGCCTTTGAGACTTCGTCGGACTGCGATCGGTCGTGGGTCTCCGCGGCTGGCTATAGGTCTTTAAGACCATCCAGCGAGGTCATATATCGCAGGTTGGTGTCGCGACCTCCAGCTGCTCGGACTCACAAGCGCCAAGGTTCTGCGCATGATTTAGTGGGAGCAGAGCAGCCGTGGGAGTAACCGCCCGCAGTCGGGGGACCCAGTCTCTTAGACCAGACTGAACATTTTTGCGCAACCTCCACAAGAGGTGCATATGACTATTGTCTCTGTTCAGAAAGCATTTCGGACTTCTGGTGGTTCGGGTTGTGGACTGTTCTCAAAGGCTGAGGTGAGAAGGGTGGGAGCCTTCATAAGAAAGTAAAATTCCCTACTCATGCTTGTCTTGGTCAGCAGAGGGGAGCCACCAGTGAGAGGATCGTCAGCATTTTAGGTGCTCTTCCCGTCTTTATGTCGATTTAAAGAATTGTCCCTCATCCGAGGATGACGGTTGTATGCCACCTGCAAGGTGGAAATGCAGCTATGTGACCAAATCATGAGAGTGGCCATGACCCGCTTAGGTGGGTCAGTAAGTACCATCTGAGAAGCAGCGATGGTTTGGTTGACATCGGACAGTGGGGGGGGGAACACCTACCGCTGCGGGAGCGTTAATGGGGTGCCTGGCATAGGGTGCTCATTTTCATGCTTAAACGTCGCTGAGGTGTTGTCTGCTCAGCAGAGATACTGACTCTAGGGAGATGGAAATGGGTTTGTGGAAATTAAGAGTACCGCCCTCTCCTCCGGAGGCCTTGTTGAAAATACGACGTAAAACGCTCAAAGTTATGCCTTGGATCATTTACAATTTGAAGTCCACATACTCTTCAAAGCTCATAGAACAAATTAAAAACCATGCCGTATCCCAGTGTATTTATCAGTTCATTCAAATATGCTTACAGACGGAGAACTCCTGTGTCGCCTTGCGATAAATACACATCAACAATATGCACGCTATTGTAACGGTAGAACACAGTTGTATTTGAAAACATTTTTGTTTCCCGATACAAATTTAAAACAAGCAATAAAGGTTAATAAAGCGGGATTTAATGAATTCGTCAAATTTCAGTGGAACTCGTTAGCTGAATACTCTACATACACGGATATATATACTCTTGAAATTACATTGGGAGATATAAGACTGATAAGTAAACAAACTACATTGAATTAGTCATGCAGGTGGTGTGTGCTTGTGGAAGCGAATACACAGGTCGTACGAAAAGGCTATTGTCTACTCGCATGATGGAGCATTTGCCTGAATGGTTGAAAACAGCTGAATGCAAACTGCCAAAAATCTCAATAACACAAAGCACCTTGTGGACTATGGACATGATATCGACGCTGTCAAATTATTCACCATTGTCAGCAGACAAAGAAACAGGAAGACGCTTGCAACTGCCAAGGAGGCTTGTGCAATTCGAGTTTATAAACCAGGTCTCTGTGAACAAAAGGAGATGGTCGTCACTCTGAATCTACCATGGTAATACGTTTTACTTATAATTCTACCTATTATTATTATTCTTGATTCATTTGAAACTATCTCTTATCAGTAGGATTATCTTAACTCACTTCAACACTGTCCGTATTATTATTATTGTTATTATAACTATTACTATTGATATAAATCAGTTTGCAATTCTTGTTATATTCTCTAATGTCTAATTGTTTATCTAAGTGATGTAATTGAAGCGTAATGCAATTTATCTTAAATTTGATCTCTCATACTCCCTCTACCCTTATTTCTTTGAACATGACCTGGAAAACATTCGCGCCTGTCTTTCTGCATGACTAATTCAATGTAGTTTATTTACTTATCAGTTTTATATCTCCCAATGCAATTTCAATGCGTCGGTGGCACAGCGGTTAATACGCTCGCCGACCGTGCACATGGTCCGGGGTTCGATACCCGGCCGACGTACTCCTTTACCTCTCTAAGCCAGAACTAAAAAAGCTGGTGAAGAGGAAAGGTCGGGCATGAGGCTAACAACCCTATCCTGTAAAAATAATTACTAATGCTACGGAAACTTCAAGCCACTAGTTTGAAGCCCTATGTTCCACTGGGAACGCGAAGGAAAAAATAATGCAATTTCAAAAGTATATCTATCCGTGAATGTAGAGTATTAATCTGACGAATTCTACCGAAATTTGACGAATTCATTAAATCCTGGTTTATTAACAGTTGTATCTGGTAACAGAATTACTTATTTGACAAAGAATATTTATATATATATTCTCATGGCAAAATACACACACGCATTACACCGGAATTTCCATTTGCGTCTTTTACCTTCCCTTTGTGGTGAGAGCTGGCTGGTCGTGACTCTGAATCTACCATGGTAATACGTTTTACTTATTATTCTACCTCTTATTATTATTTTTATTATTCTTGATTCATTTAAAACTATCCTTTATCATTAGGATTATCTTAACTCACTTCAACGCTATTATTATTGTTATTATTATTATAAATATTACTATTGATATAACTCTGGTTGCAATTCTTGTTTTATTCTCTAATGTCTAATTGTTTATCTAAGTGATGTAATTGAAGCATAATGCAATTTATCTTAATTTTGATCTCTCATACTCTTTCTCCTCTTATCTATTTGAACATGACCTGGAAAACATTCGCACCTGTCTTTCTGCATGACTAATTCTATGTAGTTTGTTTACTTATCAATCTTATATCTCCCAATGTAATTTCAAAAGTGTATATACATATCCGTATATTTAGAGTATTCAGCTGACGAGTTCTACCGAAATTTGATGAATTCATTAAATCCTGGTTTATTAACATGGCAAAATACACACACACACACATTACACCGAAATTTCCATTCGCGTCTTTCACCTTCCCTTTGTGGTGAGAGCTGGCTGCTAGACAAAGTTGGTAGACAGTAATTCACGTCAGTGTTTATGTCCTCAATATTGGTGGTGAGAAAACGAGAACAAAGGCTTTGCGTAGGCGAATTCAGTTAGCATATGGATGGATGATCTGACACAGCCACAAAGAGATGCAAGGTTAACTTTCTGTGAGAAACAACCACCAATCAAAAGACTGTATTTTCTACTAATCACTAATGTACAATAATGTACATTAAAATCTATAAATATGTGTTGATTTTCCTTAATAAACGATCTGTTGCCTGACCCTTGTCTTCGGTTGTTACACCTTCATACTTGAATCTCTCATTTCTCCTCTTCACAGCCTAATCTGTCTCTCTCTCTGCTATTCAATTAATCTTGCAGAATATATCACACAGATAAAACATACTACTTATAAACCGTTTTCAGTAGCATGCGCTACACTATCAGAGGTAATTTTTTCAACAAGAAAAAAAACCAACAACAACAACAAAGGAACAAAAATAGCAATGTTGTAATAATCTATTTTTGTAAAATATAGAATTTTAACAACACCGCATATTTTTGCTAAGCACCAGTGTGTATTTTGATAACGCTTTAAAATTATCGATTTATAACAGTCAGTATTTGTAGTTTAGCTGATGTCACTGACATTATCAGCATTATTCATTTATCTTTTAAGCTGTCTCAGCAGTTCATCAGCTGCCTTCTTGGCCTTAATTCAAATAGAAGAAGAAGAAAAAGAAGAAAGGAAACAGGGATAAAGGAGGATACTGAATACATTGAATGAAAAAGAAGAAGATATTTCACAATCTTATAATTTCTATTATTACTCACCTCTTGTGCCTCTACATGTCTAGCAGAATGATTGAGTACTTTCTGACAAACTTCCCTGGCCTTTTCCTTGTCACCGAGACGTGCATAACACTTGGCCAAATATTCCAATGTTATCAATGATCTACCGGGTGCCACTTGAATACAGAAAGGTACAATACAAAAAAAAACAAAAAAAATAAGCCAGAATGTCAATATGCGTATTTATTTAAAAGAAAACGATCAGGTCCTAGTCACTCAGCATCAACAACAAAATGATTCGGATTTTCAATACAAACGTCAAGTCAGTCAGTTCTTCTATACGGATGGATCAGAAACTTGGCGGTGGGTCACAAAAAATATTTCCAACAGCCTGTTGCAGATCTTTATCAACAACTGTCTTCGTTCTATACTGAAGATCAGATGGCCGGAAAGAATCACAAACAAGAAACTATGGGAACAAAGAAAACAAGAACCAATCGCCCAACAAATATGCAGGAGAAAGTGGAGATGGATTGGACACTCGCTGAGGAGGAGGCCGCTGGGTGACATCGCGCGTCAGGCCAATGCTCGAGTGGAACCCGAAAGGGAAGCGACGAGCAGTGGGACGTCGGTGCAAGGGTGACATGGAGGAGATCGTGTGAAGAGGAGTTGAAACAGTATGGACTAACATGGATGCAAGTGAAAAGTACAGCAGAAGACAGAAGCAAGTGGAGACGTGCAGTTGAAGCCCTATGTTCCACTACGAACCCAAGGGAACAATAACAATAATAATAACAATAATCAGGTCCTAGTGGCTGCTTAATGGTCTACGAGCTCTCTGGCCTTGTGACCAGAGGAAGGTCCTGGGTTCGTTTGAAGACTCTCAAACTAGGCTGACGAAACAACTGTTCAGTACTCCCCTTGGGGCTGGTTTTCCAATGGTCCTCTAACCAATCAAACAAAATCCTTAGAAACACCAATACTTGAAAAATGACATATATAAACTAGCGTATATATATAACTCACAGCTTTCACACTTGAGCATATGTTCCAATGCCTATGACAAATTAACACAAAAGGGGTTTCAAAAAGATAATTTAATTTAATGCCTACCTTTTGATAAGAGAATTCATTCCCAGTGAAGTTGGTATTTCGAAAAAACTCTGGTTTGGAATTATAAAATTCTGTCATAATAAAATGCCTTAAAAGAATTAACAGAGTCAAATAACAATTAATTATTTACCAGATTCCAAGACTGCTCTCAGTTAAAAAGTTATGTGGATCAATTTTTTGAGATTTCTGGTAAAATCAAATCATCAATAATGAATTTAATGGTTGGAGGATGCCAGCTTACCGTCCACAATTGATATAATTCCCCAACATTCTTCATTCTTTCTTGTATACCTTTGAGATTGCTAACTTCATCCAACAGTATGCCATACCACTTGATTTTAAAGAAGATGAGTAACTTTCAAACAGGGAGAGAGATAAATACATACAGTTAACGAATTCGCATGGTTTCGATTGACGGCAACAGCTCGTTTAGCAGAATTCATGCCCTCGGTTAAATACTTCTCACAAATCTCTTTGCTTGGTTTAGTATCCACATAATAAACTATTTGAAATTGATTTTTCGGGGGGGGGGGTGAAAGAGAATTTTACCAAATAGAAAACAGACTTGAGCTTTCCTCCATAACATTTCTACTTGATTATGAACTTCCAGGGTGGTTGTAGCAAGATCGTAGGCTTTTTGAAATTGTCCTTTTGCAATCAACTCATCATATTGTATGATGGCTTCCTCCATTGTTCTGCTCAACTAGAAATGTATGAAAATGTCTACGGGTTATGTATATATATATATTTATATGATATTGAAAGATTCTGTTTGCCAACAAACAATTATAAAATCACATTGGTATGTTTAGTAAAATGATAGATTACACTAATATATATATAATATATATATAGAAGTTGAATAAATGAGAATTCATTATTCAGTTAAAGAATTTTTTTCAGTTCATATTGGCATATGTACTTATAACAGGTAATTTATCATGTGATGTTACCGCATAGAAGATATTTGATCAATTCAATAATTTATACAATTCCTAAGGTGAAAGTCTGTATGTATGCATGTATGTAGGTATGAAGAACACTGTTTTCTGATTTAAATGTTTTAAAGGCAATTAAATTATTCAAAAGCTTGCTTGCTTTATAAGAATTTAAGTAATCTTACTTATCAGAATCAGTATGAATTAGAAGAATCTGAAAGAAGCAGCCTCATTTACCTACCTACCTACCTACCTACCTACCTACCTACCTACCTACCTACCTACCTACCTACCTACCTACCTACCTACCTACCTACCTACCTACCTACCTACCTACCTACCTACCTACCTACCTACCTACCTACCTACCTACCTACCTACCTACCTACCTACCTACCTACCTACCTACCTACCTACCTACCTAACTACCTACCTACCTACCTACCTACCTACCTAACTACCTACCTACCTACCTACCTACCTACCTAACTGCCTGCCTGCCTACATACATACATACATACATGCATACCTATCTACCCACCTACCTACCTACCTGCCTACCTACCTACCTATCTGGCTACCTTTCCATCTACCTGGTAAGCATTATTTCAACTACAGCCGGATGGAACTGATGAGGATATCAAAGCAAGGCAAGCTTTCATTACTCTCAAGTCTGTGTGGAGATCAACAGCCCTACTCAGCATCAAAAATAAGATCCGGATATTCAACTCCAATGTGAAGTCAGTGCTACTATACGGATCAGAGACTTGGCGCATCATAAAGAGCACCTCAAACAAACTAGAGACTTTCATCAACAGCTGTCTTCGCTCAATACTCAAGATCATATGGCCAGAAAAGATCGGCAGCAGGGATCTCTGGCAATGAGCGAACCAGCCCAGCAGGAACCAAGTGTGCAACAAACATGCAGGAAGAAATAGGGGTGGATTAGCTGGCCATACTCTGAGAAAACAAGCCATCAAGTGGGTGACATAACACGCCAGGCCATCACTCGAGTGGAATGCGAATGGGAAGCGGCGAGTTTGTCGTCAGTGAGAGGGCGGGGTGACATGGAAGGGGTGATGTGAAGAGGAGATGAAAGCATGTGGACAGACGTGGAGCCAGGTGAAAACTCTAGCAGAGAACCGAACGCAATGGAGACGTTCCGCTGAAGCCCTATGTTCCTGTGGGAACTAAAGGAAACAAGAATAATAATACTATCGATTTTATTGCTAATCTACATCACTTAGAGAATCAGTAAGAAAAAGGTGGAATCGGGCATTTTTAATGTCACATTATGAGACTCTCCAACATTAGGCAGACTAAAATTACTAGGGCTTGAAGTCAGGGCTATCAGTATACAAGTGTAAAGCATGCCAGTCATTCAGCTACTCAGCAGATAAAGAATGACTCATGAATTATGGTTTCTGCCTGTCCATGCTACGGCGCCCCTTAATAGCTAATGTCAGGGAAACTAAACTTAATCATTTTCCTACAAACCCAGTAATTGAATATTAGTCAGGCTGGTGGAAGGATGTCATGAAGTTCTAATGAAAAGTTGTAACTCGTAGTGCCCACCAAGTTAGTATGGATACAGATACTTGCCGAAGAAATCAGATAGCATTGGTGCCAATTTTGAGTTGACAAAAGTTTCAGTCCATTGGAGGAGTGGGCAAACTGATGGCCCTAGGTTCGATTCCTATTGAGATCGTTGTGTATAGTGATGAAGAGTCAAAAAACAGGACAGGACACCCATATACTTCTTGTCTGTCAATGATTCTCCATGCCATGTCATGCCATAATCTAATCTGAAATATTGCCTGTTTCACTGAAATTAAAAATAACAGAAATATTCATGCAGAAATCTATAAAACACAAAATAATCCAGGAAAGAATATTCTTTTCGATAATTTCCTCCTCCTCTGACTCTACAATTATATGTATGTTTATATACATAGAATATTCTAAAATAGTAGTCAATAACAATATTAGTGTTTTTTAAATAATATCGATTTGTTAAGTAAGATCAGTGGAATTACAGTTCATTAAAGATGCTTAAATTATAATAGTAATAAAGATATAATAGCAAATAGAATATCAAATAAAATTAAGGAAATTTCTACAAAAATTGAGGATCATTCGAAACTAGATTGCCAAGGTAGGGACAATGTCTGAACTAACTTCTTTTGGATGCCCAAATTAGGCTTGTTAATATGGATCTCAACAGCCTCAGCAATGTTTAGTAGTCGAACTCTTTAGGAAAAATTGAGGTTCGTTGGTATGCGGTAAATGACCCTGAAAGCCTGGTTAACATCAATCTTGTGTTCTGTATCCACAAGATGAGATAGAATAGCGCTACGAATAGATTTTATTTGTCCTTTGCTTAACCACACAGGGTGATGTTTGGAAATTCAACGAGAAACACGCCTAATTGCACGGCCTATGTAACTGGCTCCACAGGAGCAGTTAAACTGGTGGATACACATGGAAGAAACGAAATTGGGCAGTGTATCTTTTATTCGCGAAAGCAAGAGAGGAGTAGTTTTGAAGACACAACGTAATTCAGGAGCACTGAACGCTCTTTTTACCACATTTCTAAGGCGTTGTGTTAGTATCTCACTAATGTTATCCCCAAGGAACTGAATTTGTAAGAATAGGGCCGTTTTTGGAACTGTTAGTAACATGGGTTGCTTTGGTTTTAGATTTATATTCTTATCAATAAACTTTTCTGGATAACCAGTTTCACTCAGCAACCGTTTAATATTATTAGGTTCCTCATCAAGACATTCATCCGATCAAATTGCTCTTGCTCTGTGAACCAAGCACTTTATCAGATTGCGTTTGTATTTCAAGGCTTGGAAAAAGCTGAAAAAATGAGTATACTAACCCATCGATGTAGGTTTTCTGTATACACTTCTTCTTATTAGGCTATTCTCTTTTCTGGTTATAGCAACTCTGTAAATACAATAAGAAAGTTTTGTTGAAGAAAGTAGTGTGTTTGATAAATATCTTTGAACTACTAGAGAACACTTAACTGTCATCACTTTTTATATGACAATAGAAAACAGTTGAATAATATAATCGTGATTACATGAGGTGCGAATATCAGCAGAATAAAATCCTTCAAGATCCATCTTTGAAAAAAGGACTACCAACTAGATTTGGTGTAGGAGTTAAACCATTTCTGATAATCTGGCTGTGAATGGCGCGTATTCAAAAATACTTTAAAAATATAATTTTAAAGATTTCCGGTTGAAATCTGAAATTTATCCCGTTTCACAGCTGTTGTAAATCCCTTCAAGTTCCCAGTGAAACATGGGGCTTCACGCTTTAAAGTTTCAGCAGCTCTTGTGGTATGTTTTAAAGGGCCAAACTCACGCCTGACGTTTCTCCTATACCGGGCTGGCTACCTGCTGGGCAAGGTTCAGGAGTTCGTCAGTCGAGGATTTCACTCTAGGCTATGTGTGTATCTGTAGGAAAATCTACCCCCTGACCACCAAAGCACACATTTCAAAGTTAGAAACATTTAATCCTATCCCATAAGTACTAGGATACTGAGTGATACAATCACGTCGTTATACGGTTGATTACTGTACAACCGCGCAAAATATGAACAAATAATCTACTCCATAATTAATTTATTATCAAGCTGTAGAATCGTATATATATGGGTTATTTTAAAGGAATTTTATCCGGTGAGGGAATTAGGTTAAAGGTGTGAATGCATAAAATAATAATAATAGTATGAAACGCAATTGAAATATTTGTGATTATAATCATACTTTAATGTCAAGTGACAAAGTAATTAATGTCGTATATAGAATAATACGTAAGGTGTATAGATTTTGGAAAGGGGTACATAATTATAAGATTAGTAGGCGAATGTAAAATGTTACATAACATGGTGTGAAATTTGATAAGATAGAATTCAATATTGTAAAAATAAAAATATAAAAATTAATAATGTTGGGTTTAAAATGTCAAGTGGGTCAAGTGGAAAAGATTCAGAGTGAGAATAGTAATAATGATCCCTCTACGGCCAAGGTAGAAGTAGGGATTGTACATACTTCTTTTGTGCACAAAGGTCTGGCTTAAAATCATGAATTGCCAGGGCCTCAGCTGTCTTTAGAAGTCTCTGACGAAGAAAACGCGGCCGGCAATTTAGCATGGATTCGGTAGGTGATCTTAAAATCATGGTCAGAGTCCCAGGAGTCGACCAGGTGTTCTAGAATAGAGCTTCGCACACTCTTCCTTCCTCCCTTGTAAAACCATGCTGGAATATGTTCTCGTATCCGTGTGGAAAGCGTCTTCTGGCTACGGCCAATGTACCTTACTCCACAAGAACAGGTGAACTGATAGATGCACATGGGGGCGGTCAGATGGAGAAGCTTATCTTTTACAGAGGTAGAGAACAACTTGCGGCTAGTGAACGTCATATGTAATTTTGCTACACAGAATGTCTTACTGACTGATTTAGAGAGACGATTTTTGAGCATATCTAAAGCTTGATCACCTTTGAATTCCAAGTTCATGAATAAGGTTTTCTTTGGAACTGTGTCGGCGACCAGCTTAGACTGCTTGTCTTTCATGATGCTGTCAATAAATCGGTTAGGGTAACCATTTTCTGCAAGCGTGGCTTTCAAGAAGTCAAGTTCCGAGTCAACGGAATCAGAACTACAAATTTTCCTTATCCTAGAGCAGAGCGAATGAATTAAGTTCCTTCTCCTGGAGATAGGCACCCAACTGTAAAAATTAGTTAGTTGTCCGTTCCATGTACGTTTCCGATGGATAGATCTTTTGAGAACTTTCGTCTCCCCACTGTATAGTACATCTTAAAACTGTCATCCTATGTGATGGTGCTTGAGGGAATAGGTGGATGCACACAGTCAAACAAACTAACCACAGAGTAAGTTAAATTGATTGAGTGAAATATAGAGAGAATTCGAATACCTGTAATTCACATATGATAAAA